AAAAAAAGACAAAAGCTTAATGCCCTCCTTATCCCCCCGTGTGGCTATTCAGAGGGAGCCCAGCACTCGACTGTTATTTCAGTGCCAGCTGGTGTTGTGTGTCTCTGAGTGAGAGAGGGATTGTGGTTATTACAGTACATCCACATTGATTGCCGTGCAGATAGTGTCAAGGGCTCATTTATGATTGTTTCATTCACTTCGTTGCTCTGCCTGTTTGTGTCTCTTTCTGCTCTACTTTCTGTCTCTGTCATCAGAGGACTCTGATGCTCTGGCTCTGAGAGATAAGATGCCAACGTTTAAAGTAGACTGTCATAAAGCCTTCACATAATGCCAGCCATCATCACGGCAGAGCGATGAAACATTATGACTTATCGTTACCTTGGTGTCTTTTGCATTATACCGTAGTTTTTGTGAGTGAGAGTGAATAACAGCTTCAGTCATACACACCTGAATTTTATTCTTGAGATGTAAAAGCAAATAAATTGAAGGCAACATTAAAAGCACATCATTTAATTACACGCCAGCACACTGAGATTGAATACAAACATATCTGTGATTAAAAGAATAAAGAATACATCTTCCAAAACAGACATAATAGAGTCTATGACAGTTTCTGGCAACAGTAGGATGTGGCAGCTTTATTGTTCATAGTAGCATTTGGAAGTTTTTTGGCTGTCAAATCATAATTGAAGGATATTTTGGAATGGAATAATGATTTCAGTGTTGTCTAAAGAAATGAATGCAATCAAATCAAAGTGTGAATTTGATTTGAAAAGTTCACCAAATCAGAGCAGTGCATCTCCTGACCTGCGGCTGACCTGAGAGATATCACATTCAGCACAACAGTGAGACTGCCGTCTACCCAATTTCACAAGTCTGCATGTGAAAAAAGCTCCGTATTTGAAAACACTGATACAAAATCAGGATACTGACCTGAAACTGCCTTTCTCTGGCTTTGCATGCCTCTCCGATCCCACCGTCTTCTTTGTGTTGTTTTCTCCTGATGATGCCATAGATAAAAGTTTTCATAGAAACTACACTCGTCTGACTCGGGGACCATTTCTTTGCATTTTTATTCTTGTGTTTTATTGCAGGTATGCCCAAATGTTTTATGTGTATTTCTTTACCTTCTCTAATCTCCAATTTGTTGTTGCCTAACAAATAGCGTTTCATTCAAACACATAATTTCACATCACTTCTGAACGTAACTAACACCAAAAAATAGTGATGGTTTTACTCTGTAAAATTGTAAAAACTGTTTCTATTATTTTATTTTTTTATTCATATGTCTTAGATAAAATCAATTTCCTAAGGTCCCAAATCTGAGTATTTGTTGGCTTCTATGCCCAACTGCTGTCCTTGAGGAATATAGAATTTACTTAAGTCTCGGGTTTAAATGGAATCTTCATCAAGAACTTGGTGATTTCTTGATAAAGATGACATCTGTATAATCAAATGTAGGCTGTGCATTTGTAAAATATAAAAGGATAATAAGGACAGTGATTTGTGCATCAATTAATGCATTTTAATGTAAGATTCAGAAAGTGTGCTAATGTAAAGTGTTCTGCTTAAGATATTCAGAATAGCTCACAGCGGAGGGGAGATTTAATTGCAGCTTTTCTGCAAGCGGACCTGGCTCACACTGTGTTGTGCAGATCTATTACTTCCATCGGGGCAGCTGGAGGAGCAGATAGCAGAGAGCAAGGGGACAGCAGGAGGTTATGTTGGGTTTAATGTGCTGCGAGCCGTGGCAGAAAGCAGGGCCAGCTCACGTGGAAACCCAAGCTCGATTTATCATGGACCACAAGTCAGAACAGAGCACGATTAAATTGAACACACCATCCTCCATATTTCTTATTTTTCCCCATCCTTTAAATAACTATGGTTTCTTTTCTTTTGCCTTCATCAAACTCTTTCCAATGAAAGAAAAGACAAATAGATAGATAGAAATGTTTGTTTTCGCTGATAATTGTGACATGTGACACATACATGACCAATACATGCTCATAGACAACACATCCACCACAATAAAAAACTAAACAAATTCATGTGTGTGTGCAGTTACCTGAACATTTTCAGCAGATGTAACATTTCATGCATACGTATAAATAAATCTTTATTTTGTCTGGAAAAAAAAATGTTTTTAAAGTCGTCATCAAAGTACTGCTACAGCTTTTCTAACAAACCATATATGAGCTTGTCTAATGGGACTAATTTGAATTTTTTTAGTTTTGTCAATATTTATTTAAATCTGTCAACCAGGTCAAAATTATACATTCTT